CTAAATTAGTTAACAAAATAAAATCCAGCGTCGGCTCGTCATCCTTTTCATATTTTATTTGTTTTTTATTTTATTCTATTTTTGAAAATTTCGAACTCTTTTGTAGTACATTTCTCAATATATGTTTCTACAACGAGTAAGAATTTTGTAATTATCAACAATACTAAAGCAAAGATAATATTGAAAACTTTTAATAATTACAGTATAAAATTTTAATGCTAAAACAGATTTATTCGAAAATTGAAAAAAATACATCTTTTGAAAATAATAATTAATGTACGCTTCAGATATTGATGAGTTTAGAAGGAAGTGCGAAGGATATTGCAGGGCCTGTCACTATCTACATTGCACAACTCCTTCATCTGTTTTTGCATTTTTGGCAAGCTCAATTTCTGTTGGATTACAGCGCTCTTCCTTACGAATCTGTGTAAGAATGCAAGTTCGAATTAATCAGTAATCACTGCATTTTCTCTAATTTTTTTCCTTTCTTTCTGATCCATTGAAGAAGCTGTGAAGCAAAAAAAAACATTTAATATTTCTTTATTTTTTATTTTGATATTTTTTTTGTTTTCTTTATTAATTAACAATTCTGCACCTACTACTGCGGTCTCGTTAATTCTTCTCTTACTATTATAATTTTTTCATATAATATGTGCACGACAAATTAGGAGCTTTTGTAAATTTTTGGAAATGTCCTTGAAAAAGCAAAATAAAAATGCAGTAACGCAAATATTTTTTAGATTTATCGTTATTTGTGTTAGTTGATTTTGTTTTCAAAATAGTTGCAGAGCAAATTGGTATTACACTTCGAAGCGATGTCGGAAACTATTTCTCTTGATCATGAATAGAACGACATTACCTTGTACAATGACCGCTGGCAAACTCATGACTCTGTCCATCGAAAACTTCGGCGTGGTAAATAAGACTGTAATAATCTTTAATTTTTTTTACCGCTACAATCACTGTTTACTGAGATAAACATTTTACTTTTTTAAAGGTTGTGAAAACTTCATTGTCTTATCTCGCAGTGTTCCGTTCTTTTCGACAATAATGGTATAGTGCTACCGTTCGTTTCGTATATATATACTCTTAGTAATATTATTTAATAAAATAAAAAAATTTACTTAAGTTAAAATAGATTTCTTTCCTAAAATAAGATTCCAATTTAATGCTTTTTCTGTCCAAAAGTATACAAGGTTTGTTATGTGTTTGTTAATGATTCAGTTGATTAATAACCTGATGTTGGAAATAATAATTTTAAAAGTAGCGCATAATTGAGCTTGTAACGAGTAAGCACTTGCGAAAGCGTTTATGTAGAGTTCCCTTCCATGCGAGACATGGCCAAGTTTAGACGTGAATAGAATAAAACAATATGTCCTTTTGAACTCAAGACTGTAAAAATAAAAAATTTTTAAGAACGATTAAAAGCACATAAAAGTACAAATTTCAATATTTAAAATGCTATTTTAATTCTCTGTCTACGATGATTTATTGCCTCGTTACAGCGATTTGAAAATTGTCTTTTGAGCGTCTGAAAAATGTTCCCTATTTTTTGTGAATTAATGTAATTGAATTTTACGAATTTTTAAATCGATGCTTTACCTGAATATCACACTATTCATACTTCAATACTTGAACACATTCCGATATCAGTAATGAAATCTATTATTTATTCTATTTTTCCATTTTCTCTCTTATTTTGTTCTTCAATTCTTCATATAAAGCATTTTGTTTTTCAAGAATAGCTGTCTGATGTGTTCGCTAGAAATTGCACTCGAAAAATGATTCGATCGAAAAATGATAATATACTGACATATACACAAAGAAGTCAATTTTCAAAACGGGACAATAAGAACTATCTTTGAAAATTCAGAAAGGGTCGTAACATAAAGAAGTAATTGCGCACTTATAGCCTAGCGCCAATTGCTGTTGCGTCTCTGCTGCGTCAAAAAGAATTTATAAGCAAGCTCCTGCAATTTGCTGAACGGCGAACGTTCACAAAGGAATCGCCTATAGTTCGCTATCTTAATATCTTGGAAAATGACGGATAAGAAACACATTTGGCACAGTCGATACTACATGATACTTCGATTATACCTGAGCATATCGGGTATATGGCCATATTATAATCTTCGCAATAAATGCGTACGCTTTGTGCCGATGTTTACGCTCTGTAGTAGTATTCTAATACCACAGGTACATAAATATCAGGATTTGTTTTTGCAGGAAAAATAACTTGATACAGACGATTTAGCGCTGTGAAACATATGATTATAAAATTACGCAGTTTTATTTCTTTAAATGACAAGAACGTTTATGTAGTAATACCGTTACTTGCAAAATTAATAAAATATTTTTAAGCATTTACACAGTTTTTTAATTGAGTAAGAATAAGAAGAAGCAAATCATATAAAAACAAACTTTTATAATAATATATATCTAAATAAATTTTTGAAATTTTTAAAGCATATCATCAGTTTTGTAAATAATTTTAAATTACGGTATTGATATAGCTATTCTACCTTTTAAACGGTCCATTTAATCTCGATGACGTATTTGAGTGCGTACCATCTGTATTTATCAGCATAATATTCAGCTTTAAAATAGGATGGATAATGTTTAACATTGATAAAGTAAGTGACGAATTTCCTTTTACATTTCATAGTTGAACTCTAACTTTTAACAGAAAAATTGTTAATGTAATAAAAATATACGAGCACATATTTATAGGTGAAAATTTGTCTTAACATAATAAAAAAAGATTGGCTATCATTAAATGAAGTAGAAAAAGCTATCCTCGAAAGACACACGGAATACGGACGGTATATAGCAACGTTTTATGCAGGTATATGCGTTATAAAATTATAAAAACTTGTAAATGTACGTTTTTAGACGCTCATTTTTTTGTAATCGATTACTTAAAAAATGTTTTCAAAAGTTCTCGTAGAAGATATGCCTTGCAAGTTTGAAAAAATTAATGCAAAAAATTAAAAATTTCTATTTAAAAAATTTATAAAAACAATACATGCGAAACAAAATGTTTTTAATTGTGTAATGTTCTTCTAGTTTTCATGCATACGACAGCATGCCTTTTTGTGCTTAAACCAGTCATGCTGACACTGCTGTCGGAAGATATTGTGAATGTAACAAAATCATCCATCACAACAGCATCAAAACTACCTTTTCGCGTAGAATACGGCAAGAGACTTGATCAATATTTATATCCGATAACCATACACTGTTACGTGGCCGTATTCGCTCATTCGTTCGCTACGATTGCGGCCGATGCCTTGTACTATACTTTGATCCAGCACGCATGCGGAATGTTTTCAATTATTGGGTAAAAATGATGCAATTACAGACTGACGTACTTAGCGATGTTTCTGTTTTTAAAGGAATCGGTAGCTTCAAATTGCTCTCGAAATATAGTTTACCAAAAGCGTGATTATTTTGGCGATTTTGCAGATATGTGCTAGGGAATATTGGCCAAAATAACAATATGGATTTTGATTTAAATTCAAGTAAACTACGGGACAACGATTATAGAAAAATTTTGGATTGTTTACGTAGACATCTTCATATAATAGAGTGCGTTTAAAAATTATTGTAACGATTCTTTGTCACAAATGATATTTATTGCACATGAATATTTAGGTGTTAATTTTATAATAAATTTTTTATATTTATGCCTACTTACATTGAGTATCATTATTTCGCAGATTCGCGGAATTAATTGAGTCTATATACAGCACGATATTTTTGCTGAATATTAATGTGAACATGGTCGGTGGTAGTCTAGCTGGTGTACAAGTATATATATGAATTTCTATTTTTGAAGTTTTGGAAAAATTTCTAACTTTGTATAATGCATTTTGCAATATATGTTACTTTTAATTTCAGCAATAAACAAAAAAATAATATTAATACTTTTAATAGCTGCAATATAAAGTGCTAGCTTTGATGCTAGGACAAATTGATTCAAAAATTGAAAAAATTCAGCTTTTTGAAATAATTAAATTTATGCTTCAGGTATTAATGAACTTAGACAAAAGTGCGAAAGATATTGCGGGGCCTGTCACTATCTACATTGCACAAGTCATTCATCTTTTTTTACATTTTTGGCAAGCTCAATTTCTGTTGGATTACAGCGTTCTTCCTTACGAATCTATGTAAGATTGCAAGTTCAAGTTAATCAGTAATCGTCGCATTTTCTCTAATTTTTTTCCTTTTTTTCTGTACCATTGAAGGAACTTTAAAAGAAGCGAAGCATTTGACATTTCTTTGTAGGTTTTTTGATTTTTTTTTTGTTTGATTTATAATTGTTGATTAATAATTCCGCATCTGCGATATCATTAATTTTTCTCTTTCTATCGCAGTTTTCTGGAAATTTTTTTTTTCTTTGGTAACAAAATAAAATTGCAGTAATGCGTAAACGCAATTAATATTTTAGATTCATCATTATTTGTGTTAATGGTCTTTGTTTTGGGTAATAGTTGCAGAGCAAATTGGTATTACACTTCGAGGCGATGTCAAAAACTCTTTCTCTTAATCATGAATAGAACATTATCACCATGCAGAATCACTGCTGGCAAAATTATGACTCTATCCATCGAAAGCTTCGGGACGGTAAACAAGACTGCAATATCATCTTCAATTTTCATCGCTGCAATGTAGTTTAATGAGATGACCATTTTATTTCTTAAAGGTTGTGAGAGCTTCGTTGTCTTATCTCACTATGTTCCGTTCTCTACAATGATGGTGCAGTGCGATTGTTTGTAGTTAACAATATTCTTTAATAAAATAAACTTAAATTGAAGCAGATCTTTTTTTAATGAAATAAAAGTCCGCCTTTTTTTCTTCAGACTTGCACAAAGTTTCTTATATTTGTTAAAGGTTTACAATTTTTGCAGTGGTACACAAAAACACATGAATGATGAGAGAAAAATGTTTGAATGATTTCTGCACGTTAGCGCCTTCGTGAGCGCCTATTTTAAGTAGGGGAAACAAAACTCCGCACTCATCACGCAAAGAATGTATTGCGATAATTTGGTATACATTGATTACATACACGAGCACTATTATCCAAATTGTTTATGACATATGTCTCAGCAACATACAGATCGATATAGCTTGCTGCACAATCTTAAAACAAAATTCACGCTAATATTAGATAAGGGGGGACTTGATAGAATTCTGATATCGCCAATATCGCTTACCGCTGAAAAATTTTCTAAATTCACGGGACAGACGCTATACAAATTAAGGGAAACCGTTCGCATACATCTCATCATAATGAACAACATTATCTTTTGCTTCCATATAGACATATTGTGCCACTTTGCGAAATATCTAGAATTACACCGACATCAGTGATCAAATTTTCCAGTAAAAATGTATTTGTTATTATTTTATTATTTGTAGATTAAGTGAGTCTTTTACTTTTCTTTCGTAATGAACGATCGGGCTCAAACTCGGGGATCAAAATGTGCGTTTACGTTTACCATTATACGTAGCGATACTCACACCTTCATGGACATCTGTGCGCTTGTATCAATTAGATGCTGACCCATGTAGCTACTCATAAACAGATAAATTAATTGTCCAATGACGTAAGCTATGGATCTAACCGGCCGATCCGTTCCGGAGAACTTAGTTATCTAAAGAGCAAAATGTGTAGCTACGCTGATTCTAACTTCCTTGATTCGCAAATCTTATGTTGCGTGTTAATCGCTTGGCACGGGCATAATATATAAATACATTAATTAAATGTGCGAACACTCACTTGTACCAGCGTGATGCCTATTAGAATTATTAAAACTAAAAATTCAGCGACGATGAGTAGACTGTAGCACGATTGTATAACGTCCACGAACCTTAGATTGCAAGAAAAAAAATAACATCCGCGAGTTAATAATGCACGATCACGTGTTAATTTTGATAAAAAAACTTAATAAATATGGCACTTGCAGTGCCATATTTATTCGGCACACCTAGAAGAGAAACGATTGTTCTTTTGTTTTTGTCATTATCATGCTATCGCGTTATCCGGTTTCGTAGAAATACACATACCACATTCATTCAAAACACGTACGAATAGGCAAGTATGTATAATACGACACTGTCAAAAGATTACTAACTGTATGACTTTGCGATGATCTTCGATAAAAAGAAGAACGTTTCTATGATCTTCTCCAGTTTCACGAACAGATCGAGCCTTGGGTGAAGGTACATCGAATAACTGCTCTGCGCGGTGCCTATGTAAATTTGCACAAAAGATGAGATTTTTAATATATATTACCTCAACAATTTGTAGCATTTTATAATTTTTAGGTAAAGCCAGATACAGTTTATTTTATTGAAAATATTGATATTTATTTATGAATGTAAACCGTATGGGCGAAATTTCTGATTAAAGGAATAATAAAATTGATTAAACTGTCTTTTCTTAAAAGAACAAGCAATTTTAGATTTGGAACATTTGAAATAATCGAAGCAACAAATCCAAAAATTAATCACCATAAATATCAAGATTATGTTAAGTGATTGAACCAAAGAAAAGAAAATTTTTTAATAAAAATTGAAAAATGTATGTAATTTTTATTATTTTAATGATAAGCTTTATTTAAATAATATATATTCGTAAGTTTATGTCGATTTTTTCAATAATATAAATGTATCTGTAAAAAAGAACTAATTTATTTAAAAACTATAAAATGCTCCAAAAGATTGAGCGCAAAAGTAGGCTGCTTAGCTCTTTAGTGCGTCTTCTAATTAATCAATCCACATTATTATTTTTTGTGCGCGTTACATATTTTAACTGTCATTACCGCGCCTTACATTTCTTATTTAATGATATTTAATAAAAATATAAAAAAATAATAACACGTTCAAACACGGGCATTTCTCTTCAATTCAATAAAAACTAGACTAAAATTAATTATATATTAAATATTATATAAAAAGAAATAAAATATATTTATATAAAGTTTTAAATAAGATGTTTAAAAAATGTATAGAAGTAATACCCTAGTACGGCAAACATTCCGCTGGCATGTTGCATGTAAATGACGAATATGATCACGTTGGCGAGTATTACTTCCATCAAAAACGCAAGTATAAAATATAATTGAAATCGAATAACGTAAAAGTATTTTTTGTCGTCTATGAAAAATTCGACATGAAAGGGATGTTCGCGCGAACGTGACTCGTTCAATGGCAAGAATACATCGAGAATTTGCGGGATAATTGTCATAAAGATATATGCACTTGTGCCTATAAATACGTAAACTGAAAGATAAAGTCAATTAAAATTAATCAATTATGTGCCTGCAAAAGATCTTAAAAATTTCATGATTTTATTAGGAAATAATAATCTCTCGATGCAACGACATCGGAATATTGGAGAAACTCCATAAGATATTAGAAGTAATAATAATAATAATAACAACAGACATAAAATATTAATTTTGCGCAAAAATACTTTTTCACGATTTGTAGTAGTGAAACATCAAGAAACTTTACTCACACGAAAACGATATCGACATTTTTCTTGTAGCCGCGGCGTATGTTTGCATAATTTTAATCTCATCTTGAGAGCTTGTGCGTTCCCAATCCACTTTAATTCGGTCGAGTAAATCTTTCATCTGCAAATTAAACGCTCGTTCCGTTTGGAAATCATATCGTAGCAAAATATCAATTTTCAATGTTGAATTTTTCATGTTGAATTTTAGTCAATAGTATTTTAGTCGTTTAAAAAAATCAATATATTATATCTCTTACTTCATTCATGTTCACTATGCGGTTTAAAAATTTTACCATTATACCAACATGAGGAATGATAATGGGCAGAACATCGAGTACAAAATCTGTAGTTAATTCCGTCATGTAAATCTTAGCTGTCTAAAAAAACATCTTCCATCACTTTAAATTATTCTCTGCTTCACAAAAATGTCATTAGAAAATAAAAAACTATTCCTGTCGGACGCTGATTTCAATCAAGCATTCGAGAAACATACAAATGAATATTCCATTCAAAAACTCGGAATAAAATGTAATAAAAATTTCAAAATCTCTACGCGTCTCCAATAGAAAGATTTCTACATCTCACAATGTATAATCCGCTTACATTGTTATATTAAAAGTAAAAATCAAGAAAATGTCGTTTTATCAGATTTATGAAAATACCTGAGCGATTAAAAACCAAATCAAAATCGCCATTGTTAATACTCGAAGGATCCAAGCATTTATCGCACTCTGATAAGGCCATAGCCCGATTATGGAAAGCAGGAGACGATTCAAGCTGTAATACCGATTCAGAGGGCACTCCATTTACTTCGGAGGTTCGACGACGACTGAAAAAAGTCTCGTAGAAAAGGCACGGGGTAATGGAAAACACCATAATTGCTTTCCCGCTACTATCTCACATAAATTCTTCCTCGGCGAGGGAAGAAAAGTGTCGCAAATTGCGCCCTTACGCGTTTTCACACTTTTCGCACGCAATGTGCTAAATTGCGAATAGAGACCATCGATTTCAAGACGTGGAAAAAACATTATACCCATGAGAAAGGCGCGGATGAGCACGAAAAATTAATGAAGTGAAATTTTTAATGTTTTTTTTTTCTCTCTGAAAAAGACTTATAACGCATTTTCGCATTAAATTGACTTTGCAACTTTTTAAACATTTTTCTTTGCCTCTTCTTTTTTTTCTCTATTTCTTGAGCGACGGTACAAGATTATTATTTTTATAAAAGAGAAGGGGTGATCAACTTATTGCATTATGGAAACAAATGTTGTAGAGGTAATAATATAAGCCATATTTTACTCACTTGAAGAAACAGACAAGTGTATACGAGTACTCAATGCAAGTTTCAATTGTTTTTTGTAGTAATATTTTAATATTTTTATATAAAAGAGAGAGATTGCTAATATATATATATATATATGTACTAATTATCTGGAATTCTGATAAAAATGTACGTAAACATTTATTAAATATTATCTATAATCAGGATGGACGTATATTAATAAGAAAGCATATAGATTGTGTATCTTTATTAGTCAACTCAGCTCGTTCGCCGTATAAAGCTGATAAATGGCCTTACTGATGGCAGGTCCGAGCTGCCGTTTTTTGTCACCTACTTGAATATTTGCCAACAATTGCTCTCCGTTTTTACCGGAATTTTGCAAAGCGGTGATTAGGATTTGTGGTGTGGCATAATGTTCTACAATCGCCGTGGCTTTATCTATGGACATACCTTTCATTTGTAATAACTGACGAATAAACATCTCACTTACTTTAAACGTCTGAAAAAGAAATGTAACAGTAAGTCACAATATCATTTATACGCATTACATGAAAAATTTCTAATACATACTCTCTGCTTGGAAGATGCTTTATTGAATTCTTTGAACATCATAAGACCTACTGTGATGAATTTAGAGAAATCCTGTGTTCCAATAATATATTTTTTTTTCAAGCCAACAAGCTTTTTATCCTAAAATAAGATATCTATTGTAGAAAATATTAATATGCACTTACGTAAAAAGAATACCAATATAACGCTTACACACCTTGTAAATTTTAATTAAAGTTTTTGTTACACATGATAAATATGACATAGAATCCTTGTGACTTTTTGTATATTTTACGGTAAAACCATCTTGTACCAGACAATTTACAGCAGCTTGTAACAATGATGGGAGTGGTATAGAAAATCTAGATTTCTTATCGATACCTTCTACTATATACATAAGATTCTTGACACCAGACTGCTTCAATCGAAACTGAAACACAAAATCAAAGAATATACAGATAATTAAATACGCAGAATCAAGAATACACATCTAAAGGTGCTTTATTTTGACAATACCTTTTGTTCATGAAACCTTCCATCTATAATACTTGCACTTAAATCATCCATTCGCTTCCTCTCTATTATATAAGGTATAACCAATTCAACATTAGTCTTTCTACATCTTGCAATCCACATGAAATCACCAACATTCAAATGACGCACTTCAAACAGTACACCAAGCTGTGTCAATTCCACAAGTGTAGCATCATGCTGAGGCTTTGTCTTTCCACTGAAATATACTCTTCGTATGTTTAAAAGCTTTTTGTAGAGGTAACATTTTAAGTTAACTGTTTCATAAATACTTACCCACAAGTTTCTTGAGTATCTACTAATAATAATATATCAAAAGTATTAGGATCTATACAAATTTCCTCTGCAATATCTTTTGCTATAATTTCGTTCGCATTTACTAGGTTTTTTGGTGCATTCTTTTCAATATTTCTAGCTTGTTTGACTACTGTTTCTTCTTGTATTTCAATAATATTATCTTCTTCCACAAATCTCTTTCTTGGAGCAATTGCACAGTCTTCGTTGCTTGCAAAAGTATGAACATCAAGTGCTTTAGCAGATTCTTGTCTTCTATACTCTTCCAATTTTTTATCCAGCATCGAGCACAATTTCGTGCCAAAATGCTGCAAAATTATGCATTCTCTACCGGATTCCAATGGCAGCGGGTATCTCTTGAGTGAATTCAAAGCTTTCGCGAAATGATAGTGCAGCTCAGAATTTCGAAGCACCGCTTCGTTTTTCCATTCTTCTAACCAGATCTCGAATAGACGATTCGGCCTGTCCGGCACGATTTTGATTCTCTTCATCTTTCAATATGTTAATTAAACACGCCATGAATTTTATACTCATTTATCAACAATAATAAAATCAGATTTCTAATCTCAAAAAGCATAGCTCAAAAATGCTCGAATTCAATGTTAATCATTTTTTATGTTTCTTTTCACAAAAATATATCATTTATACATATAACACAATTATAAATAAATAAAAAAATCAATTATAAGTAATAATCATTGCTATTGTATAATGAAGATTGCATATTAAGGTTATGTTTTACTTCTTGTGCTTTGTAAGGTTATGTTTTATTTCAAGTGCGTGAAGTGCAGCCAACAAATTAATGCTCGATCAATCGATAATCGATGTTAATCGATAATTGATAATCGACAATCGATTGTTAATCAATAGTTTTGATTCTTTTTCCTACAACCTAATGACCTATATTTTTTAAATATTTCTTTAGGCAGCGCTCTTAATACTTAGATTTTAGAAACTCTAAAAGTAAAAAAATTAAAGGTCAAAAAATTAAAGGACGCAATTAGGTATTGAAAAAATTAAAGGATGCATAATCATGTCCTCCAATTTTTTCAATGTCCAAAGGACGCCTAATCGCGTTCTCCAATTTTTTTAACAGTCAGAGAGACACCTCATTGCGTCCCAAAGGAAGGATTTTATTCCAATATATCTTTGTATTGTGTACGGTTGAAAGTTAAATGTGATTTATTGAAATCGTATTAATTAATTAATTAATTTAAAAAATACGATGGAGCCGGATCAGGAAGATAGTCAAGGTGGATTACGCGTGGACGGTAGACGGGCGCTAGAATTAAGACAAATTCGTATGCGGATGGGAGTATTCGGGCAAGCTGACGGCAGTGCTTACATAGAGCATGGCAACACGAAAATTTTAGCTACAGTATATGGTCCTCATCAGGTTCGAATTACTTTGAAATATTTTTTTTTTGTTATTATGAGACTTGTATTAATGCATAACGTCCCAATTATGATGAGTTACGGGCTGTTAAATTATATTTTATAGGTTAAGAATGATGTCAATGTGATCAACACACCAATTTTATTGTGCACTTTGTAAACTTTTTTTAAATATTTTTTTCTTTCTACCGCAGAAATATGGATATATATTTTTTGTACTAATTATTTGTATCTTAAACTACATTGTAATGTTTGTATTCTTTCAATTTATGATTTAGCCCAGGAGTAGCGCATCAAGGAATAGTACAAAGGCAATCATAAATTGTCAGTACAGTATGGCTGTGTTCAGTTTTACCTCTGGTGAACGGAAGCGAAGACCGAGGGGCGATTGGAAATCCCAAGAAAGATCAGCTCAACTGCGACATGCGATGGAAGCCATAATACATTTAGAATTGTATCCGCGCTCTCAGATTGATGTCTTTGTAGAAATTTTACAAGTTGATGGTAGCGATTACTGTGCATGTGTAAATGCAGCAACACTTGCATTAATAGATGCTGGAATTCCAATTAAGGTTAGTATACAAAATATGTAAAATAATCTTTTACTATTTTACATATTCAACATAAAACATATATAGACACATAGAAAAAGAAATATATTCTTATATACAGAATAAATTTTTTGTTACAGAATTATGCTGTAGGCTGTACTGTAACCATTATCAACAAACCATCAACAGAAGACGAAGACAAGACGTTAGCAGCAGGAATTTTAGATGCCAACTTCCTGGAGGAATGTTCACCGGGAGTTACCTTGTCTGTTGTTGGGTTATCGGATACAAATAATGAGGTTGAAGTGGACAACAATGGATTAATAGTAGTGGCGCACGGAGCTGGACAGAGATTACATTTATCACGCTTGCAAACTCTCCGGCAGCGTGCATTGCAAGGCTGCCAGGACATAAAGAATATATTGGACAATGGTGTGAGGCATCATTTAACTGCAAATTTATTGCCTTCTTTTATGCACAGTTCGCTTGAGTAACAAGAGAAGAGAAATATACTTCAGTGTTGCAAGATTTTGTACAAGTTAATATTTATTATATATAAACAATTTAATAGAAAAAGATTTCTTACAAAAAACTGTCAACAAATCTTGATGTATATTTTCTCGAGTAGAAAAATATTTTCCCCGATATTTTTCTATTAGTTAAAGGTCTGTTTTTAGATATTAATTGCATTTCTCTAAAAATGATATCAAACTGTAGCGCCAGGATATCTTTCCATGATCATACCAACTCCCTGTAAATAAAATATCAACATTATAAGTAGGAAAAAATTGTCACGAAAATTATCGGATGTTAAAAGCTACTTATAATAATATAAATCCGACTTTTACCTGTCCGCCAGCTGCACAGGCCGCGATAAGTCCAAATTGTTGGTCCTCTTTGATAAGTCTATTAGCTGTATGGGTCGCCAATCGTACTCCAGTAGCAGCAAACGGATGACCGAGTGATAAGGATCCACCCCAAGCGTTCCACTTGTTTAGTTCAGGTATTCCTATCTTGGAGCTCTTATTCAAATATTTTTGTGCAAACAAATCGGAATCCAATGCTTTCAGATTAGCGCAGATTTGTCCGGCAAACGCTTCGTGAATTTCCCATACTCCTACATCTTTTACGTTTAACTTTGCTTTGTCCAAGACCTGTAATAATTATATAAATTTTGTTTTTTGCATAGTGTTTAGATTCACAAAGTTGTATTAATATTAGCAATCAAAGTGGCAAATTAATGACAAGAATTGCACACCTTCGGTATCGCATACGATGGTCCCAGAAGCAACTGATCGACCGGATCTTGAGACACGTAAGTAAAGTTCCGCAGGTACGCCTTGGGTTTCAAACCAAGTTGAAGGGCCTTCTCCTCGCTCATTATTAACGCCGCAGACGCGCCGTCCGTCAAGAAAGACGCGTTAGCCGCGGTAACCGTGCCGTAAGGTTTGACAAATGCGGGCTTCAATTTCGCCAATTGCTCTTCCGTAGACACGCGAATACCATTGTCTTTGTCTATAACTTTGTCAACGCCCGGTACTAGAAACACAAAAATAAAATGAATAAATATATCTGTTGGATACTTAACGAATTAAATGAGAAATGTTAATATATACCTTTGTAAGGCGCTACATCCGACAGAAGTCCTTGTTGCTGAGCTCGCGCGGCTAAAGTATGAGAGCGTAACGCGTAATCGTCTTGCTCTTTACGCGTCACGCCGAATGCCGCTGCTAAGCGATCTCCACTGTGTCCCATGGTTTCACCAGTTGAAAACTCTGCCACAGCCGGTAGCTATGTAGACATAAATGATTGAAAATTTCATTATTTTTAAATATATGATTCTTATAAAATACATACAATATTTATGTTGTATTATCAACTTACATCTGGCACGAAATGGCCTGGTCTGATACTGGCTAAGAGAGTTAACCTATCCGTCACAGTTTTTGCCTTGTTAGCTTGCAGCATCAGGGATCTCATACGTCGACTGTGTCGGATCGGAATATCTGACATAAATTCAACTCCTCCTGCTATAATAGCGTCGTAAACACCGCAAGCAATCAAGCCTATGCCAGTTGTGATAGCCTGATTACTGCTAATGCATGCCATTGTTACTGTATGCGCTGGAGTATGGTCACTGTATCCTGCAGCTAAAGCAGCTTCCCTTCCAATATTAGATGTTCGCACTTCTTGCATTACTGTGCCATATACGATATAATCGACTATTTCCTTGGAGAATCCAATCTTCTTTTGTAAACTCCTGAAATACAATATAATTTTTTTCACAATTAGAAAAAAATATTTAGAGAAAAGTGGGATGTAAAAATGAAATTTTTTGGGAAACTTTTTTTATAACCATCATGTTTCTAATGATAGATAAATTGAAACTTGTTATTTTGACTTACAGCAGTGAATGTCTTGCAAGATCATACGCCATAAGATTCTTGTACAGTGTTCCAGACAGCAAAAATGGAGTTCGTACTCCATCGATGAATACAATATTTTTCTGAGCATTATCGCTTTTTGTAGAATAAGCCTTGTTTATGGCAATTGCGGAATAACGTGTAAAAGCTTCCGCTAAAAAATAGCAAAAATGTGTTCTAGCAATAATATGCTGAGTCAGATAGAACAAGCATTACACAATTCAAATTAGTACACATTTCAATTTGTCAGATCTATTGTCAGTGTTATATGTTGCAAGAATAATTACTATAAAAATGCATAATCATATCAAATATCATAATACGCAATTACGTGCTATAAAAAAAAGCAAAATGTTCGAATCGAACATACTCTATTATAAATATACTCTTCGTAATATGCACTTATGGACTTTGCACCAACCAATTTGTCAATTTATTAATTTCATACTTTGTTAATGAATAAAATAAAATTATTTCCCGTACCATGATTAACAATTCCATGTTTCACTGCCAGGCAATTTTTTAAAAGGGGAATCATCTTGCTTGAGATATAATATTGGTATGTTTTTCTTGTTCGATCACGTTTGATTATGTGTCAACGTAGACTACCAGACAGCTCGGAAAAATTGCGATCAACATGAAACGTCGGACTTTGACCCGTCATATATATGTATGTACCAACCTGCATTATTTATACCAGTGCTGCCGTTAAAGCAAGAAAGTTCCTAAATTAATGCCAACTATGAAAAAAGAAGTTTTATTCAAAATAGCCATATCTTTGGCCAAATTTAATTGGTCATCAAGTATGTAAGTAATTCCAAAAAACTTGTGTTTTTGTCCAATAACCAATATTATCGAAGAAAGTCTTTCTAGAGACTGTATACGTTATGATTGTAACTATTGTAACTCAATTCAAAGATGTCCTCTTTCTTTCTTGTTGATTTTAATAGTCATAATATAAAGCGAGGAAGAATATACAACGATCATTACTAAATTCGTCTCGTACTATGATCTCAATTCAACATCTATTTATTTGGATTATGCGACTACAGTTTCAAATAAGATGCTAAATCAACAACATCCTCTGTTAAGCACCATTGATTCTTGCATAGAGCCGCTTTTGAAGCGCGTTTTGCAAATCAAGAGGCTTGGTAAGCCTATCATTTATTGATCTTTATCATTCACATTTAACAATAATATTAGAGCCTGTTAATTATAAAGTATTATATGCTTTCAAGGTATTTGTTATGGCCCAGTAAGATTGGATTCGGCATCTTCGAGTTGTGACAAGAGTAAAAATGATTGCTTTAAGCTATTGATTCCCTATGCCGGAGAGCATCTTGTGTGGAATGTATTGTTCGATTCCCAATACCCTGAGATGGGTCCTGACTTCATATTCAATGATCAAAGTTTCTTAATGGACCCAGACGTCGATACTTTATCCAGTCGGGTGCCTAGTTTAGTTGAATGGAATCCTAACGATACTGATGCATTGCTTAATGTACTATTTGAATTGTTGTTGTATTATAAGGAACATCAGGTAAACAATAATTATTCTGCAACTTTGGTTGATTTATTTTGCTGTTTTATATCATGTATAAATCATATCGATTGCGAGTCTTCTTTATGTTGCTACAGGAGTTTAATATAATGTACTTTAAAGCAAAGAAAATTTGATAACATTTAAGTGCATAAAGACAACTTTTTTTTTATTTTTAGCTACAATTACTTGAAAGGCAAGAAGATCGCTTACAACTGGAATATAGCACGCTTGTTGGTGACACAGAGATATCTTCTGAAGATATAGAAGTGATAATGTTACCATTAGGAACAAAGCCTACAGAAGCAAGATTTCTAATCCGCATTCTGATAGATTATTCTCGGTTACCTTCACGCGTTAATAAATCACAGAATGATGAAGCAATGCTTATTATTACATTTTACGGACCAGATTGGAATCGTATCGTGCCGCAACTTCGTCTATCTAAGACCTTGGAAGATCTTTTTGGTGGACCTGATTCTTTGCACATTCCACCATTACCAGCGACTAAGTATTTAATGGATTATGTTCCAGAAGTGAAAAAGTCCATAGAAGAGAAGGTATAATTATTAATATACATACCATATAAAATGCAGAATTCACATTTATACATGTCTTATTGCAGATAAACAATATGGTACAATGTTTTGAAAACAAAAGGGAGTTTATTACACATTTAATTGTACTACAGCGTGGTAGCATACAGGAATATGATGCTGTAGAATTTAACTGGATTACTATTTTACTAGTATACCGAGACTTCCATTTTCTTGTACATTTTCATCTTTCTCCAACATTTCCGAAAGAGAAACCGCGAATTACCCTGCAATCGATATATCACGTAACGTTGCAGGGTGCGTTGTACAAAGAAATATTGGATGATATACCATACAATCCTAGATGGCAAATATCACAAATGATTGAGAAATTGTTGACGTATATAATGGAAAATGCAGTTCAAAAATTTCAAGCTAATTCTATCAGAAATAATCGTTTTTGATTACTATTCCAAAAATATATTTTATTACAGAATGTATATTTAATAGTTGATTGAAGTAAAAATTTTGGTCTAACTGATATGATCCCGCGTGTATTTTATTATTAAATTGCTGCAATAATACAGTTTATATATATATCCAATTTTGCAGAACGTCCGCAATTGTTTTTTATGCATGTTGCATACCAACAAAAAATGAACACAAAGTTGTTATTATTTTTTAAGTACATTTATAAAAGCATCTCGTGGTAAAGAAATTTTTCCAATCATTCTCATTTTCTTTTTTCCTTCCGCTTGCTGCACTAGCAATTTTTTTCTTCTAGTAACATCACCTCCGTACTAAAAAAAAAAGATACAAGATTATATATATATATATATATATATATATATATATATATAGTGAAGCAATCTATGTTAAAAATTTATTTATAATATATACATATTCATTTACTTACTAATTTTGCCGTTACATCTTTTCTATATGGCTTTAAATTTTCTCTCGCGATCACTTTACTTCCTACCACTGCTTGGATCGCTATTTCAAAAAGTTGTCGAGGAATTATCTCTTGAAGCTTGACACATAACTTTTTGCCCGTTTGCACTGCTTTCTCTTCATGCACAATTATGCTCAATTCTTCTACTAATTTTCCATTTAAACGAACATCTAACTAAAATTTATACATCAAAATATATAATTAATTAAACAATCTAGTCACATATAAAAGTGCATGGCACAATAATTTATCATAATAATATTTAATAATTACCTTGACTATATTGGACAATTGATAGTCATGATCTTCGTAATCAAAACTGGCATAACCCGAACTTATGCTCTTTAAAGCATCATGAAAATCAACGATTACTTCGTTCAATGGCATTACATACTGCAACATAAGTCTGTCATTGCCAATGTTCTTGTTCAATTGTTCTACTCCTCGCTTTTCTCGACACAGTGATATAATGCCCTTCAGATACTCAACTGCACATTTTATAAAGCATTTTATAATTATTCTATAAGTATTAATAATAAAATTAAAAATTATGTCTTTTCAAATATTTTATTAAAATCTATAAAGCTGAATTGATAGTTTCTCTTTTTTACATATAAGATATTAAATAAAAAATGCATACCTGGTGTTATAATGGTGGCTATTATCATAGGCTCGTAAAATTCAGTAACAATCTGAGGATCTGGAAAATGCGCTGGATTATTAAAAATTACTGTGTCGCCTTTATATCTTGTTATATTTTTGCTGCCAAAAATCTTTGCTTTATATGTGACTGCAGGCGCTGTAACTATCGGCTCTGCCCCATATTCCTGCTCGAGACGTTGAGTGAAGACTTCCATATGTAATAAACCTAAAAAGCCAATTCGCCATCCTCTTCCAAGTGCAATGCTGTAACAAGTAATTTTTTTCACAATTGAATGACTGAGCAATCTACACTGAAATTTATATTGTTGATGTGCATGGAAAGCAATTCTAATAAATTATTGATATTTAAAAAATAGTAAAACTCATACCTTGATTCCAAAGTGACAGTCACAGCGCTATCGTTTAAAGCAAGCTTGTCGATAGCTGCTTGCAAAGAAATAAATTGTGACTGATTTACTGGATACACGCCTGCAAATACCATTGGCTTCAGTGGTTTAAATCTTTCTAAAGAATCAACAGACTGATTCCGCAGGTGCAATGTGTCACCAATGCTAACTTCCTTAGATTTTATGTTACATGAAATAGCACCCACTTGTCCTGCAAATCTAGATACATTTTATATGATAGATTATACATGTAACGATATAAAATTCATATTTTGATAAAAAAAAGTAGGCTTAAGAGAGTTATACTCACATTATACTTACATTCTCTTTATATTCTCTGTATGAGGCCGAAGAAGAAAAATATTTCTAACTTCACATGATTTTTTCATATGTGCAGAAGTAATATATTTACCTACTGACAATGCTCCATCTTTCACATAAATTAATGAAATCGTACCTTTGTGCTTGTCATACCAACTGTCAAATACAAGTGCTCTGAAAGGCTTATCTCTGTGTACCACAGGTGGTGGAATTCTTTCAACTATGGCATCCAAAATTTTATCGACTCCAATACCCAGCTTGGCAGATATTTTGATAACATCTATATCTGCTTCCAATAATATTTGCAATTGTTCCTCCACTTTCTCAGGATTGGCATTTTTCAAATCTATTTTATTAATTACTGGTATTATCACGAGATTTCTTTCTCGTGCTAGATAGTAATTTGCTACTGTCTGAGCCTGAACACCATCATTTGCATCCACTAGTAATATGACTCCTTGACAAGGAACCAAGGAACGATGGACCTCTGCTGAAAAATCCACGTGACCCGGAGTATCTAAGAGATTTAGAAGATACTTCTTTCCTTGGTATGAGTAGAACAGTGAAGCTGTCTGTGCTTTAACAGTAATTCCACGTTCTTTTTCCACTTGCAGATTATCCAACACTTGCTTTCCAGAATTTGCTTTTATGGCTCCTGTCAGTTCCAGCAGTCTATCCGCGAGTGTACTTTTGCCATGGTCGACGTGTGCGACTATACTAAAATTGCGAATGGTTTCAATTGGCACATCATACTCTACATCAGTCGTCAGATGTGCTGAATATCTATTTGACAAATTTATCCATCTTCTAAAACAAGATATGGAATGAAGCATGCATGTCATAAATTTCTTCTTTGAGATACATTTTCATTAAAATAAAAAATTTTACCAAATTGTAAATACCTTCGTATCTTACAGAGGATTGGACTATTGGGCATTGCATTACAATTTTTTGCAATATAAACATAACGACTAATTTTATTACCGAACCAGTTAATATAATTGTTAAGCATTTTTCATTCATTATTTAAAATGATATGAGATCAGTTTTTTATCAGACTGTATTTCGTGCAATGTGCAGCATTTTCTTATGTGATAAGTATCTGTTAATGTTATATTAATGAAAACAAGAAATATACAAGAAAAGAGGGTTTTATAAAATGTTTAACGTGCCATTAACTCTCAGATTTGCCCGGATAGGCGCGCATGCGCGACCTAACGAGCGTAAAAACAGTGGCACTGACGTACTTTTGACAGGCTCCAGTTTAAATGACGGGCTTCACACAGGTTGCACCAGAGCTGCCAGATTGAAGAGCCGGACAATAAGCTACTGCAGGATGAGGACAGGATGAGGCTGATATATGAGTAAATAAAGGTGATATTATAATACCAAAATAGTAGTGTAATATTAGTGATATTAATGCAATATGGATAATAAGAAAAAAAAAGCTGTTAAAAAACGTACAATAAGAAATTTTAATTTATCATGTAAATAAAAAACACCTATTAATTTTTTAAAACTTTGACATATATTTTTGAGAGCAGCTTTTGGAGGGAGTCATATAACACCTTTCACTCGGTAACATATTTCACTCGGTATTATACTTCAGATGAGAGAGCATTAGGCCGCGCATACGCGTCCATCCGAGCAAATCTAGGAGCACTGAATAGGTTTGTTCTTTATAGCTGAACTGGCTGAACTAGTTCAGAGTTTATCTTTTTCCCACCACATTGGAAGAAGAAAGATAAACTCTGAACTAGTGCAGCCAGTTTAGCTATAAAGAACAGACCTAATCTTGCATCACTGCTCTCGATTAAGGAGAGACTTTTGCATCCTGCGAAAGAGCATAATACTAACATATATTATATAATAAATAAAAGGACGTTTAAGGATGTCCTAAAAAATGTTTAAAAAAAGACATTTTTAGGACATTCTTAAAACGTCTTAAAAAAGACATCTTTAAGACGTCCTAAAAAAGATGTCGGCCGATTTTTAATTTCTTTAAAAATTGGCACTACACGTTTGTATTCCGCGGGCTGTATGGCAGCGCCATAGCCATGTAACTATATATTCTTGAATAAAAAAAAAACTCTATCATCATGTATTCCTGGTAATAAATTATAAAATCCCGGATAAAATGGAGCGAAAGAAAGGAGACAGAAACAGTATGTCTGCGCTTATCTCGTTTTGCGATGATCTATCTTATGTTCTTTGATTATTGATTGTCAACGTTGTCAACGGGTAACTTTTCACAACACGTTTTTCTCGTTATTAAGCCTATATTTCGTAGAAAATGAATAAGCACGACTCAGAAATTTGCGGTTTTCTGGACGTTAAATTAGTGGGAAATAGTTATATCACGCAAAAAGTGAAAAAGAAAGGTTTGACGCTGTCAAAGGTTTGGAAACGATTTTGGTGCTCTGTAAAGAAATTGGAACCTGGTCTTGGTGTGCAATTACATTTTAACACCAAGCTAAATTACAGCAGCAGTGCTTTAAGGCAAAACGGAAAGAACAATTCTGACAATTGTGTGATAATACCATCGAATGCTGTTGTATATCGCATGCATTCTAAAACGAAGCGATTTGCTTTCTGTATAGCACCAAAAAAAGACAGAAGACCCTTAGTGTCATTGTCTGCTAATTCAGAAACTGAAGCACAACGTTGGATGGCAAATATTAGACACTTGTTGAATCCTAGAAAATATTGTGGCAGAGAGAAGTGCTACAAGGTATCTATAGTTGACAATACACATTCGAAAGCAGCAGGTTTGACTGGTAAGTACAATATTTATTTCTTAAAATTACTTCATTGATTTGATCTCTCAATTTCATCGTCAATATTTCTTTTCAGGTCTACATGGAGACTTGATTACCAGCAAAGCAGGCATTTTTATCAAAAATGTTTCTACTGCCGAAACAATTGAAAGTTTTGAGTGGAAGGAATTTAATCAGTTTCATTTAATGACAGCAGGTCGTCCAGAAGATGTGAAACGTGTTTGTGTAATACATACTACTAAAGAGTTTCGCTGTGGGGTTGGAGAACTCCATATATTTTGTCTTGAGGCTAATAAATTACTACAAGATTTAGTAACACAAGGTCGTGGTCCAAAGCAGAGACAAAACTCTTGCAGTTTTAATGAGAAGAATCTTGAAGCATTGACACAACACAATGGAGTGAACAATTCTCTTTTACATCCAAGAAGTGACACATTTCCCTGTATTCTTAATGCAGAGGCCATTTGGTATGTATAATTGCATATAGAAAGTTTAATAATAATATGTGGACAACACATAATTTAAAGATATTTATTTGCAGTGAAGCTAAGGAGAACATATATCAACCAGAATGTAATTTAACGCGCAGTGGAAAAATCGAATCTTGTAACCATAAGACATTAGATACTTCTTATATTTCTGAAATTTATGAAGAAATCACGGACAATGCATGTTCTTCTAAATCCAAAACATTTCCTTCAAATGTGTATGAAAATATAGATAAAAATTCATACAACCTGCCAATGGAACCTCCTCCACTACCACCACGACAGAACCAAAAACAAGGATGTATAAATGAAGATAGGTATGATTGTAAATTTTAGCTCTAAGTTTTTTCTGAGAAAGATACATATAAAATAAAGAGATGAACAATTTTAAATAACTCTAAATCGTATCTTAAAACAGGGTGAATATAGGACAATATACTCAAACAGAAACATTCGATTTTGGAACAAGATTACAAAATACTAAAGTAGAGATGCAAGGAGCTATTCTCACAGACAGTTATGTTCTGATGTCACCACAATTAAAAGACAGTGATACATCGGAATTTGACATCACTGAAAATTCGAAAGAAAATGATTATGTAATTATGGGATAATGTGAAAAAAACCCATGGGATGTCAGCCAAAGTAGCACTTCGGGTTGGTCCCCCCTTGTCGTAAAAGATGACTAAAAGGGACACGATCTTCCTGGTTCTAAGTTGGATGTACGGTTAACAACTATGGATAGCAAATCATGAATCACAAAGCAACATGCAAACTTAAAAGATAGTATAAAAAACTTGGAAAATAGTGATAAAACTTTGGTGAAGACTGGAAATATGTAAGTTTATAATCTATTATATAAGTCTTCCACGGATTATGTTACTGACTGCCACAGAAGTGTTCTAATTTTTTAAAAACGATTGATTTTTTCTACAATGGAATAGTATGAAATATGTGTGAAATTAATATCTTATCAGTATCTGTTTTATAATTTTTCGTAAAATACTAATGAGATTAAGTTTGGGTCTAAAGAATGCCATCGTTCACGAGCAAAATATTATTCGTAAAATATGAAATTAAAAATAACTTTGTTAACTAAATCAATTTATATTACTATTTATATTACTATATTTTTTCCTACATTTATAAATCTTATTACGAATTACAAAAGGGTTTGAACTAGATTCGTTCGATTTTAGTTATTCTTAAATGTATTCCATCTATTGGTGTTAAGAAGAATGTGTTGGGATTATTTTCGTAAGGTATTCGTGTTCTCTCACAAGTTTCAACTTTGTAATTTCGTAACATTTTTATGAGTCCAATTTTAGTCTGATAAACAGCAAAGCGAGCACCTAAAAAGATTATTGCATAAAATATGTCCAATTGTCCGGTTAAAAAATACTCCCAATATTATGCGAACATAATTGAGATATATATACTAAAGAAAACATTTTAACATACCAATGCAATTCCTCGGGCCGTCGCCGAAAGGTAGATAAAACATTGCGTGCCTAGATTGCACAGCTTCCTCAGTAAATCTTTCTAGATCGAAAACATCTGGCTCTGGATAAATGCTTGGATCGTGGTGAATTGCATAAGCCGGAATCCATACGCTTTGGTTTTTTGGTATGGAGACTTTGGTACCATTAAAAGTATAATCTGATACTGATTTCCTCGTAAGAAATGTTAGCGGGGGATATTTTCGTAAAGTTTCTGCACATAATATAAATAATGATAATTAAGAAGTTATAATATTGAAATATATTAAACTACGATTATTTTCAAGAGAGTTTATTAATTAAAAGATATTAACAAGACGATAAAAAACAAGAAATTTTAAAGTTTTAAAAATTTTTCTTTCAATAACATACCTTTGAAAACTTTATCTAGATAACTCATTTTTTTAACGTTATCATACGTTAAGTTGCTGCCATGAATTGCATATTTTTGCTCAATTTCTTCGCGTAATTTGTCTTGTATTTGCTGATTAATAGCTAACTCGTATAGTGCGTGACTCATAGTTGTTGAAGAGGTTTCAAAGCCAGCAACAAAAAATCCAAATGCTTGAGCAGCTATCAAACTGTCAGTCAAATCTGGGATAAGACAATATCAGTATTTTAAATATTTTCTTTACTATAAATAATCTAATTTTATATCACTGTTGCAAAGTACAACTCATTTAATCATTAATAGCAATATATATATATAATGAATTTATATTTTATCATATCATTACTCAAGCAAGTCATTCTGATTTATAGAATTATTTTGTACGAGTAAATGTACATTTTTGCAAGAAATATTAAATAGAAAATTATCAGAAAAATGAGAGATGCTTACCAATATCTCCTAGTTTTTGCGGGTGTTTTTTTAATTCACGCAGTATATCAACGAAATCATGTCTAATGACATTATTCTTTTCTCTGTAATCCAAGGTTTCTACGATAACGCGTGTGAAAAATTTGGTTACTTCATTTTGTGGTAGAAGGTATCCAAGCATATTGCAAAGACTTGGTATAATTGATCTAAGTCTCGATTGTATTATCTTCTTCCAACTTGGAGCGAATACTTTTCTTCCCATCCTGCGAAATTCACTATCGTCGTTCGACATAGCATTCATTTCGATGCCAAAGGCACAGGTTCCAATAACATCGGTCGTATATTTGGCTGTCAGTTCGCGGCACTCTACAGGCTCCTTTTTGTTTGCCAATTTTTCAATATATTTCTCAAGATGATCGGCACATTCTGATATTAAAGAGAACATTTCCTTTAATTTCCCAGATGTGAAAACAGGCGATAAATTTATTCTTAAAGGTCGCCATCTCTTAGGTTCTAAATGAAAAAGATGTTGCGACAACGGCTCAGCCTGTAAAACAAGACGAACTTATAATGCAATAAATTCATTAATTTAAAAACCATGTTTTACAGAATTGTATAACAATTGAGTCTTTTAAACAAATTTCTATTTTCACTAATTTTTATCACTCGCAAAAGAAAAAAGGGTACGAGAGTTTTCGAAAAATTATATGATTCATGTTTTAGATATTATAAAATAATTCAAAGCATTCGAACCTTTTCTAGAACGGTGAAGCCTCTGTCGGCAAACTTGGAGAAATCTTTGATAAGCACATCTTTTATCAATTCTGGATTTTTTACGATAAGAATGGGCGTTTTCCTAAGAAATATTCCAATCATGGACTCATCTTTATATTCGTCGTATACTTCCTTTAAGTAATGTCCCATGGCCTTTTTTGTAAGCATAACATCTTTAACATTACCAAATAGTAATGACGGTTGTGGTCCACGAACGCCGCGTGAACTCCAAAAATCATAGGTTGATGTAAAATAATAATAAAGAACAATGAGTGTGACTGCAATGCCGCACAGTATTTCGAAAGGATCCATTATTCGTCAATTGTTGATCGGTTATTAGAACTAATTTTTCCTAAAAAAGAAAATAAAATTCCGTTAAATATAAATTGATAAACTAAGAAGCTGAACAAGATTCAAAGAAGATATATTTTTAATGAAATACAAATTTAAAAATTATTGCTTATACATGTATAATGTTTAGATATGTAGGATGTTTATTCTATTATGATATTAAATTATCTTTTATTTAAAATTAATGATAAAACTTCATAATGAATTAAATTAGATGGTCCTGTATATATCAATGCGCCTATGTTTTATGTCAATTGCTTTGCTCAATTAGAATATACAAAACAAAAATTTAATAAACTGTAAAAGCTAATTAACAATAATGCTCAATAATGTAACAAAATTTTTTAGAGACATGTCATTACTTAATCTATTCTACATATTTAAACTATGATTTTTATAATATAACTGTCTAACAGATATATCAAATGCTTTTTCTATATTTACAATGACTATTTGATCTAAATTCGCATACAAATATCACTGTATCGTACCTGAATACTACAGGAAAGTGATCAGTAATTGCGCTGCAACGTATCTTCACGCTTCTATCAATTTACACGGATGCTATCAGAGATAATACTGGCTATTCTGTAGTTGGCAGGTAAGTTAAATTATAAGCATTGCTGTAGATGTGAATAATTGCATGTCACACAATGAATTGTGGAAGTCGTGGTATCTGTGATTCTTGCATTTATCACAATCATGATTAAGCAAATTAGCAACATAAAAAAAAATGATTAGATAGCGTTTCATATGTTCTTATGTAGATTAATTCACGTATAGATATAGTTACGTATGTACCAGTAAACACTACTATGCAGTTCGCGATACATGTTTATTTGGGAAATAACATTTCCATAGTTAAACAATTATTTTTGATGACCTTGGTTCAACTTGTTTTAATTTATTTTCATGTAGTTATAAGATATATAAATATCAATAATTTATTTAAAATTAATATGTAAAATTAAAAAATTATTAACTTTACATTTCTTTCTGATGTAATCATTTATTTACATCTGGATAAGAATGTGAAAAATATAATTATGAATTAATTAAAAAAATAGGTTTTACTTGAATGAGGAAAAAAAGAAAGCCGTTGCAATAACTAGACTTTCCTTCCTGATTATTGTGGAAAAATATATATAGATTCGGTCAAAGTAGCACTTCCGGTTAATCCCCCCTTATTATAAAAGGGGCTAAAAGGAACACAATCTTCCTGATTCGTAGTTGAATGTACGGCTAACAACTATGGATAGCAAATCATGGGTCACAGAGCAACGCACGAACTTAAAAGATAGTAAGTAGGTATATAAAACTTGGAAAATAGTCATAAAACTTTGGTAAAGACTGGAAATATGTAAGTTCATAATTCTGTTTATTATATATAAAAGATCATGGATCATGTTACTGACTGCCACAAAATAGTATTTTAATTTTTGAAAAAAAGATTGATTTTTCTACAATGGAATAGTATGGAAGTTTAAGTTTGGGTCTAAAGAATACCATCGTTCACGAGCAAAATATTATTCGTAAAACATAAAATTAAAAATAACTTTGTTAATTTAATCAATTATATATTACTATGCTGTATTTTTTCCTACATTTATATACATCTTATTACAACTTACAAAAGGGTTTAAACTAAATTCGTTCGATTTTAGTTATTCTTAAATGTATTCCATCTATTGGTGCTAACAAGAATGCCTTGGGGTCATTTTTATAAGGTATTCGTGTTTTCTCACAAGTTTCAACTTTGTAATTTCGTAACATTTTTATGAGTCCAATTTTAGTCTGATGAACAGCAAAGCGAGCACCTAAAAAGATTATTGCATAAAATATGTCCAATTGTCCGGTTAAAAAATATTCTCAATATTATGCGAACATAATTTAGATATATATACTAAAGAAAACATTTCAACATACCAATGCAATTCCTCGGGCCGTCGCCGAAAGGTAGATAAAACATTGCGTGCCTAGATCGCTCAGCTTCCTCAGTAAATCTTTCTGGATCGAAACATCTGGCTCTGGATAAATGCTTGGATCGTAATGAATTGCATAAGACGGAATCCATACGCTTTGGTTTTTTGGTATGGAGACTTTAGTACCATCAAAAGTATAATCTGATACTGATTTCCTCATAAGAAATGTAAGCGGGGGATATTTTCGTAAAGTTTCTGCATATATTATAAATAATGATAATTAAGAAGTCATAATATTGAAATATATTAAACTACGATTATTTTCAAGCTTATTAATTAAAAGATATTAACAAAACAATAAAAAACAAGAAATTTTAGTTTTAAAAATTTTCCTTTCAATAACGTACCTTTGAAAACTTTATCTAAATAAATCATTTTTTTAACGTTATCATACGTTAAGTTGCTGCCATGAATTGCATATTCTTGATCAATTTCCTTGCGTAATTTATCTTGTATGTGCTGATTTATAGCTAATTCGTATAGCGCGTGACTCATAGTTGTTGAAGAAGTTTCAAAGCCAGCAATAAAAAATACAAATGCTTGAGCAGCTATCAAACTGTCAGTCAAATCTGGATAAGACAATATCAGTATTTTAAATATTTTCTTTATTGTAAATAATCTAATTTTATGTCACTATTGCAAAGTATAACCCATTTAATCAATAATAGCAATTTATATATATATCTATATATATAATGAATTTATCTTTTATCATATCATTACTCAAGCAAAAGTCATTCTAATTTATAGAATTATTTTGTACGAGTAAATGTACATTTTTGCAAGACATGTTAAATAGAAAATTATCAGAAGAATGAGAGATGCTTACCAATATCTCCTAGTTTTTCTGGGTGTTTTTTTAATTCACGCAGCATATCAACGAAATCATGTCTAATGACATTATTCTTTTCTCTGTAATCCAAGGTTTCTACGATAACGCGTGTGAAAAATTTGGTTACTTCATTTTGTGGTAGAATGTATCCAAGCATATTGTAAAGACTTGGTATAATTGATCTAATTCTCGTTCGTATTATGTTCTTCCAAGTTGGAGCGAATACTTGTCTTCCCATTCTGCGAAATTCACTATCGTCGTTCGACATAGCATTCATTTCGATGCCAAAGGCACAGGTTCCAATAACATCGGTCGTATATTTGGCTGTCAGTTCGCGGCACTCTACAGGCTCCTTTATATTTGCCAATTTTTCAATATATTTCTCAAGATGGTCGGCGCATTCTGATATTAAAGAGAACATTTCCTTTAATTTCCCAGATGTAAAAACAGGCGATAAATTTGTTCTTAAAGGTCGCCATCTCTTAGGTTCTAAAAGAAAAAGATGTTGCGACAGCGGCTCAGCCTGTAAAACAAGACTAACTTATAATGCAATAAATTCATTAATTTAAAAACCATATTTTACAGAATTGTATAACAATTGTAGTTTTTTAAACAAAATTTTATTTTTACTAATTTCACTAGAAAAAGAAAAAAGGGCATGAAAGTTTTCGAAAAATTATATGATTCATGTTTTAGATATTATAAAATAATTCAAAGCATTCGAACCTTTTCTAGAACGGTGAAGCCTCTGTCGGCAAACTTGGAGAAATCTTTGATAAGCACATCTTTTATCAATTCTGGTATTTTTACGATAAGAATGGGCGTTTTCCTAAGAAATATTCCAATCATAGACTCATCTTTGTATTCGTCGTATACTTCCTTTAAGTAATGTCCCATGGCCTTTTTTGTAAGCATAACATCTTTAACAGTACCAAATAGTAATGACGGTTGTGGTCCACGAACGCCGCGTGAATTCCAAAAATCATAGGTTGATGTAAAATAATAATAAAGAACAATGAGTGCGACTGCAATGCCGCACAGTATTTCGAAAGGATCCATTATTCGTCAATTGTTGATCAGTTATTAGAACTAATTTTCCTAAAAAGAAAATAAAATTCCGTTAAATATAAATTGATAAACTAAGAAGCTGAACAAGATTTAAAGAAGATATATTTTAATGAAATAGAAATTTAAAAACTATTGCTCGTACATGTATGATGTTTAAGTTTATTCTATCATAATATTAAATTATCTTTTATTTAAAATTAAT